CTTTTTCACGGTTCACCACAAAATGAACAACAAGTCAATACAACAGTGGTTCATGAGGCAATAGTTTTTTCCTTCAAGAATTTGTGGTATCATTTTCATATTTGTTTCTAAGTTTTAAAAATTCTCTTACCCACCCTCTCCCCTTTTCTGTTGAGCAGCAATTTTTAAATTATCTGGTGGTTTTAATACACTTCCCTTATTTTTGTCACATTCCCTTCAATTATGCCAGTATTTTTGAGGCCACTCTCTTTTCTGGATGAAGAAGAAAAAAAAAGTTTGGAGTTGGAAAATTTGCGATTGAACCTAACTCTCCCATTTATTAGCCACATGTGCTTTGGCTGGTCCTGTCAGTTTTTCTGAGCCCAGTGGGCTTATCTGTAAAACAATGACATAAATGCCTACTACACAAGTAGAGGATTCACAAGAAATGGTACTTTGTGAATAAGCATTTTAAGTCCAAAGATGCTGTACATAGGTTTTTTGTTTTTGTTGTTGTTTGTTTTTAATTCAGATGGCTTCTCTGTGATGGGGACTATTTGGTAAAAGAATGAATTGACCTCCTAGAAAAAAAGGGCACTGCCTCAGTTGTCAGCACGTGGTGCTATAAGGACACATGTCTTCCCACTCTGATTGCCAGAAAACTTTCTTTCTTACTATTCAGAACTTTCCCAGGCCCAGTTTCCAGAAGATAATTCCACTCCTATTATTTTGGAGTTCACCGTGTGTGATACCATCTCTCTACAATATCTGGTTCCCTCATCTTTCTGCCCCTTGCCTTATCCTCCCGTGCTTCTTATCCTTAGGGTTCTCCCTCCCTTCCTAACCTTTCCAAAGGAAGGTGGGTTGCTTTTTGTCACACTTGTCATGAGTTGGAGAAAAAGCAGAAAGACTAGGAAGCAATAGAATATTCCCTACTCTGCAGCTTCTAGGTTCCTGCCCCACCACCAACATGCAATAACATTGCTAGTTCTTGAGTCTTTTCCCATATTCTAACACATCTCTCCCTTGCCATTCATTGTTGGTTCACCATGGGACACTTTTCCATGTCCTTTAAGATGACAAACACCATGAAATACCACACAGCAGGAAGAAAGAAGGAGCTCCTACCCTCCGAGACAGCATGGATGAAACTGGAGAGCATTATGCTAAGTGAAATAAGCTAGGCAGTGAGAGACAAATGCTTATGATTTCACCTATAAGTGGAACCTAATCAACAAAACAAATAAGTAAGCAAAATATAACCAGAGACATTGAAATTAAGAACAAACTCACAGTAACCAGAGGAGAGGTGAAAAGGGATAATAGGGTAGGAGAAATGGGGAAGGGTTTTCAGGAACAACTATAAAGGACACATGGACAAAACCAAAGGTGGGTAGGAGGTGGGGATGGCTGGGGTGGGAGGAGTGGTGGGGGGACAATGGAGACAATTGTACTTGAACAATAAAAAAAAAGTAGGTACCACAAAAAAAAAAAAGACAACGAGCAACCCCCAGTCTTTCCTTTCAGAGGCTATCATCCTTTTAGGATCGAAGGCCTTTCTGACACTACAACTCACAGATCCTTGCCCTCTAGGGCACCAGGAACTCATTTCTTTGGCATTTCTCCACTAAGGAAGCATCACAATGCCCTTTACCATTTATTGCTACCAAGACCTCAAACTGAGAGAACCCTATAATAGGCTACAATATTCTGACATTCCAACTCTTTCACATCCTAATTCTTGCTACATTTCCTGCCCCATCGTGGCACCCACTTCCTTGACCCCATTCTGTTTTCCTAGTGGATCACCAACTGTTGTCAGACAAACAATGCACCTGCAAAAGGTGTCCATGTCCTAATCCTTTAAACCTGTGAATATGTTACTTTATATGACAACAGGGACTTGCAAATGTGATTAAATTAAGGACCCATGGATGGAAGATGTTTCTGGATTATATTGGTGGGCCCAATGTAATCATGAAGATACTAATACGAGGGAGGCAGAAGGATTAAAGTCAGACAAGGTGATCAAAGGATGGAAGCAGAGACTAAAGTGATGCAGCCATGAGCAAAGTAATATTAGCAGCCTCTAGGAACTAGAAGAGGCAACCAGGTGCCTTGAAACTTCCAGAAGAACCAGCCCTGATATCACTATAATTTCAGCCCAATGAAACTCATTGTAGACTTCTGACCTCCAGAACTGAAATAGATTCTCTTTATTTAATACTCTAGGTTTGTGGCAATTTGCTACAGCAATGATAGAAAACTAATATACCATCCATACAGCTGATTGGCCTGTTGACCTAGTTCTGAGAGTGCCAATAATCCATAATTCAGTTTTGCTCTTATTTTCCTTAGAATTCTTGTTTGGGTCTTGCCTAGATGCCTGCCTTTCCAATCCCCAACTCTGATTGGCTTTTATCACAATAATGGATTTTTTCATTCCTGCACAGCAGTTTCCAAGTGCTTTGGAGCAAATCCCTAACTAGTTAATTGAGATCATTTATAAAACTCTGGATTTTACATATTTTTCCTTTAATACTTCTCATTAGTGGCTTAGCAGTGGATGCTACATATATTTCTACTCTGCCTGGGATCCAAATCCACCTCCTCTTTCTTCACTCTTAGATGAACACACCTTTTTGAGAAAACTGAGAAAGTCTTTTAACTTTCCTTCTATCTTGAGCTACTTCTTTTTTCCCCTCTTGTCTCAAAATCAGTGGTCTTCTTCCTTAAATCCACACCCTTTACATGCCTCCTGGATCCATGCCATTCCAAACATTCCTCAACTTCACTCTATCCATCAGCTTCTGTCAGTTCAAGCACATAAGGAGGTATCATTAGTCTATACCCGTGTGCAGGGAAGCACCATCTAAGCCATCTATGATAAATCACTCTTTAGATTTTACCTAAAGATCTCCAGAGCTAGAAATCTGTATCTTCTCTTATTTCTTCTTATGGTGTTCCCTTGCCTTAAAGATGAAGAAGTCCTCAAGTGAGAGACAACAGTCAATTTTTCTGCCTTTTAGAGATACACAGGGAAAAATATAGATATGACATCAACAGAAAGTCTCTGAGATCAGGGAGATTGCAAATATTCTATATCATTGTTTTCATGTCTTTGTAAATATAAAATGACTCCTTATTTTGTTTTGGAAAACACAGTCACTGTTCCCAAAAGTCCTAAAGAATTGTGTATTTTATGTAATAGGCACTCACTAAATGTTTATTGAATAAATGGTCAAAGCAGCTCATGGAAATGGAAATTTTCCATGAGGTGATCATCAAGGGCCATAGAACTTTTAATACAAAAATCTTTCTTCAGGTAAGAATTTCTCAATCTCTGTCTCTCTAAGTTATAAAATATTTTCATCAATGTATAATCTTTATCATATGACTCCCCATTGTTGAAAATAGAATTATGTGCCTTCTACTGCTGACTCTAATATATTCTTGTTATAGGTTTCAAAACCTCACATAATACTTCCAACAAATTTTTGCTGGCAATCAAAGCCCATGGATGAAGACAAAGAAGCATAAAAGAGAAGAGTTATTTTAAAAAACAACAACAAATTCTACATACATGTTAAAGATGTCAACATTTTTTAGGAAAAAGAATCTTGCTTATTTTAAAATGTCTAAAATTATTCTAGCCAAATAAATACAGAACTATGTTGTTGCAGAAATATAATCCTTGTAGAAAAAGATATAGATTTTTTTCACATAGCTATTTACTTTTTGTTTAAATTAATTGCATGTGTATGGAAAGTACACAGACCTATATTTTAAAAACATATTAAATATGTTAACTTTCTCAAAATTTGTATTTTCAATCCATGAATTTATATATATGTGAAAATATGCAAACCATTTCAACAATGGTGCTGGAATACATTTCAAATCCCAATTTATATAAATACTTTAAAGAAATTTAAATTAAGAGATGCAATATGGAGTAGTGAAAAGTATATGCATGAGTCAAACTGATCTAGATTTGAATCTTGATCATTCATTATATAATATTTAACAAGTTCAATCATATTAATACCAAAATTTGGTATAATAAGTTAAAAATATGAATGAATGATAGATATTATTCAGTAGAGTTCATATCCAAATGTTTGAGATCAAGAAACCCTCCAAAACAAAAAAAAAGAAACCCTCCAAAATTTCACCATCATTGTAAACAAAAAAGAAAAGATACTTGTTCAGGATATGAATAACTCTCTGGAAAAACAAAGTATTGCTATGCTTGATCCTAGCCAAGAGGCTGAGAAGCAATGGAAAATAAAGCATTCTTAATAAAACAGGAAACTAGATTGAAGTGAAAAGGTCAATAGTGCTATAGATATAAAATACAGAATATTGATATCTGCCTTGAAATAATTTGGACTAAAAATGAAGCTGTTTTCTTAAAGTGAAGCTTGAGTACATTTTAACATTTAGTCATTTTCTCTGTGAATAGAGAAAATAGGTATATGATTTACAAATAAGTAACTGACATTTAAAAATGGGAAAATAATAATGTAATTTTCATCTTCCAGGGATAGAGATTAAATGAATCAGCCTCTCCGAAAATACAGGGTCCTCTTCTTCCTTCTGTTCAAAGACTGTCTGATTCTTTATTCCTCAAGAGTGCCCAACACAATGCTTTGAACAAAGTAGACACACAATGTTTGTTAAGTAAATCAATGTCTTGAAAATCATTTGACAATGTACATTGTCTGTTTTCCTCCACAGTGAGAAAGAACACATTCAAATTCATCATTTCCTTTCACATAAGAAATGCATCTCATTGTTTTGAGAACCTTACATTTTTAGTTTCTAAGAGTTTCTTTTAAATCATTTGTCTTATATGGGGCTTGACAACCATGAGGCTAAAAAGAAAAGAGATACCAAAATTTAAGAAAAAGAAAAGTACATAAATATTTTAGTTGTGCTGATTCTGTAGAAGATTTCATACATTTGACCTTTGATGAACATGTCATCTCTCTAAAGAGCTATTCCTGATTCTATTTCAGCATGGCTTTCCCAAGACCAGAACCAGCTCATGAAAAAGAAGAGTCCAGCTGTGGATGGAGGACCAGGCACTTCTCACCCTTTCCTCTGGTAGGCATTAGCTCCTCAGTGTCCCCATGGGGCATCTCTCTGGGACTTGGGCAGGAGTAGAGGGAGACAGCACACTCCTATGTATTGATGGCAGACCATGTGCAAGGTCACACAAACAGGATCAACTTCCATCCTTCCTTCTTCCCTGGAGGGAGCCCTCCTCCATTACAGAAGAGAGACATTTGGGGGTCAAATTGTTTCAATAATTCCCACGTTACACAAGCAGTAAAAACTAGACCTGCTTTTTAAAAAATATTTTATTTATTTATTTTTAGAGGGGAAGGGAAGGAGAGAGGAAGAGAAATATCAATGTATGGTTGCCTCTCGTGGGTCCCCTGCTGGGAACTGGCCTGCAATCCAGGCATATGCCCTGATTGGTAATCGAACCACGATCATCTGGTTCACAGGCCTGCGCTCAATCCACTGAGCTTAGACCTGCTTTTTATTCAGATAGGATTTATGTAGCATAAAATTAGCCCTTTTAAGGTAAAATTCAATGGTTTGCAATAGATTTACAATGATGTGCAACAATTACTACTATTTAATTTGAGAATATTTTCACCCTCCTAAAGACACCCCATTCCTATTAGTAATAATTTATTATTTCCAGCACTAGGCAACCACTAATTTATTTTCTGTCTCTGTGGATTTGCCCATCCTGTAGTTTTCACATAAATGGAATCATATAGTATATTTTTTTTGTTACTGGTTTCTTCCTGTTAGCATGATATTTTCAAGGTTTATCCACATTGTAGCATGGATCAGTAGTTTATTTTTCCTAAGAAAAATTATACTTTTAAATTAAAAATATTTTTATAAAGTTCAAATATCATGTTGCAGGAAAATAGAGATTAAAAAATAGAAATACCAGGCCCTGGCTGGTGTAGCTCAGTGGATTGAGTGCAGGCCTGCAAACCACACGATCATGGTTCGATTCCCAGTCAAGGCATATGCCTGGGTTGCAGGCAAGTCCCAGCAGGGGACTCACAGGAGGCAACCATACATTGATATTTCTCTCCTTCTCTCCTTCCCTTCCCTTCTAAAGATAAATAAATAAAATCTTTAAAAAAATAAAAATACCAGTTATCAAATATCAGATAGGCCAAAATCTGAAATTGTTACAATACTCTGTGCTGATGAGGCTGTAGAAAACCACCATTCAAGTGTTGTTGGGGCAAGGATGATGAACTGGCTCATTCTTGTTTGAGGGGAATTTGGTAATATCCATTGAAATGACAAATTCCATTTTGTAGAAATTTGTACTATAGATATATCAGCACATACATGAAATGATGGATTTGTTTCAATATCTTTTGTTATAGTAAAAGACAGAAAACCACCTTATAGTCCACTACTAGTGAATTGGTTAAATAAATGATGGTACATCCAGGCACTGGAATACACTAAAGCTGTAAAAATGAATGTGGAAGTTCTATAAATACCAATAAGAAATGTTCTCTATGATACAGTCATACTTGAAAGAACAAGGTGAAGACTACTATGTATGGAATGTTATGGAAGGAAACAAAGTAGAATGTATATCTTTATACTTTATATATATAGAGAAACTTTGGGAAGGTAACAAGAAATTAACAATATTGCTTACTTATTTGGTGGAAAAAGAGAGAATATTATGACTGGGGAATGAGCTGGGAAAGACTTCTGGCTACACATACATAAACTTATGCTGTGCTAGGCAAAATTCTAAAATGTCCCTCCAGTCTAACCTAGATACTGTTGTGTTTTGCTGATGGAATTAAGGTTGCAAGTCATCTGATCTTAAAGTAGGGAGATTTTCCCAGAACATCTGGATGAGCCCAGTGGAATCAAATGAGCCCTTCAAGGCAGGAAAGGAAGAGGAATCAGTCAGAAAGATGAGGGAAGGAATGAGAGTCAATGATGCTGAAGGGGCCCAAGGAGAAAGCCAAAAAAAAAAAATGCTGGCAGGGGCCAAGAGCAAAGTGCTCTAGTTAATAGCCAGCAAGGAAAATAGGAACCCCAGTTATAAAACCACAAGGAATCTAGTTATCCAACAACCTGAATGAGCTTGGAAGAAGATTCTCCCTACAGCTTCCTGAGGAGAGCCTCATGGCAGACAAATTAGCCAAGCCAACTTGCACATTTGACCTACAGAGCTAAATTTTGTGTTGTTTTAAGCTGCTGTATTCATGGTAATATATTACAGCAGCAATAGGAAACAAACATATTACTGTGGCACTTGTCCTTTTATTATAAATGAAGATTTCAAGGTAATACAAATCGAAATATACCTCAGTAACATAGTTGAAAACAAGGTTAATTTTCCAGGAGGATAACTGGTCAAATATTCATGGCAGTTTTCTTTGTTTTGTGTGCCTAAATATAAATATTTTTAGTCTGAAATTGCAATTTTGATAAAAAAAATCCCTGGGCAGAAAGTCTGTCTTGTAAAACATAAATGCAGGCTTATTTTGCCAAGGCTCTTTGTCTCCTAAATCTAGTCTTTAAAAACTAAAATGGCAGGATATAAACACAGTTTCTTTAATTCTTAGAAAGCCAGTTAAAATTGTTACAATTAAATTAATAGACACTAAAGAGACAGGCACTTGGCTTAACAGAGAATGTCTGTCTTGTCTAATTGAAATGTCTAAAGGTTAAACCTGCACTTTGTCTAACCTTTAACTACATGATTCTTCCTTTTAGTATTGGGTATGTTCCAGAACATTGCTAAAGAAGTTTATTGTTCTTACATGAAAAAAGTGATCAAATATGTGATCTTTAATACAGAATTAAGATGAAAATTCTAAGGACACCATTTCTCAATATTATCATTTAGCTTTTTATAACTAAAAACTTTTTATGAAACAAAGACCTTCCAAAGTTAACTACCTTCTATGAGAAAAAGCAAAAATAAATTTCTTTTCTAATTTGTTGGAAAGGTTAAATTAATCTCAGTGTTAAGAAAAATCTACCAATTAATTTCATTGTTAGAGAGAGTCTACTTCTTTTTAAAACTATTTCATCTGGACTTCCAGCCAAGATAAATGCATAGGTGGAAACACTGTACCTTCTAGCACAACCAAGTTTATGAACAAATATTTAAAAACCAGAACACAACCAAAACAGAGAGAAAATTAAACTGTACCGAAGTCCACCAACAACGAACCATTCAGCCAGACTGATAAACCAGGCAAAGGAGCAAGCAGTGAGACAGAACGCACAACCCAGGGCCCCAACGCCAGAAAATAAAGCCTAAAAGCACAAATTGGAAAAACTTGCCGGGTTGAGGTGCCGGGAGAGGCTCCCAGGATCACAGAGAGTTTGTTGGAGAGACGCACAGGGTTCTGGAGAGTACACAAGCACACACACCTGGGAACTAGCACCAGAAGGGCCCAATTTGCTTGTGGGAAGCAGCAGAGGGGACCGAAATCCCAGAGAGAGCAGAAAAAAAGGCCACTGCCCCTCTCTGACCCCGCCTCCACATATGGTGTCACAACCCAGCAACCTGGGCTGTCCCACCTTAGTGAACACCTAAGGCTCTGCCCCTCATATGTAACAGGCACAAACAGACCAAAACCTTATGGCTCAAGAAGAACAGCTCAAAGCCCCAGAGCCAATGCTTCTAAGTGACCAAGAGATAGCCAACCCTTCAGATGCACAGTTCAAAACACTGGTGATTAGGATGCTCACAGAATTGGTTGATTTTAGTCATGAATAGGAGGAACAAATGAAGGCTACACTAAGTGAAATGAAGCAAAATGCACAGGAAACCAATAGTGATGGAAAGGAAACTGGGACTCAAAGCAAGGGAGTGGATCAGAAGAAAGAAAATAATGACCAAACAGAAAAGAATGAAGAAACAAGAATTCAAAAAAAATGAGGAGAGGCTTAGGAACCTCAAAGTCATTGTTAAATGCGCCAACATCCGAATTATAGGGGTACCAGAAGGGGAAGAGGAAGAGCAACAAGTGGAAAACTTATTTGAACAAATAACAAAGGAGAATTTCCCCAATCTGGCAAAGGAAATAGACTTCCAGGAAGTCCAGGAAGCTCAGAGGGTCCCAAAGAAGTTGGACCTGCTACATCTTCTTCCAACCATGTTGTCTGATAAGGTCCGGGCATGGAGGATTTGAGTTCAAGGAATTTGTCTCCCCGGAGAAGAATGTGGCATCCAAAATGGTTTAAAAATTGGCTGTTTTATTTTAATTATTTTACTCTTGCTACTGAATATAGACATTGTACTGTACTTACTTATTCCTGTGAAAATCACCCAAGAGGAAGGGACATTTCAGGGGGAAAACATTAGTATTTCCCACAAAACTGCCTGAAAGAATGAAAAAATCTCCACAGATTCTCCTCTCCCTTATACAGGGGAGTACAACAGCCAGGGTAATATAATTGTTAACCATAAGGGACACATGTCAAGTTGTATAAATGACCCTGGCTTGAGCAACTTAAAGCGATCGGGACCGCCATAGTGTACCAGAAATAAGAAAAACAAGTTACATATTTGTTTTGATAATCAAAAGGTGATGGGATTGTTAGACACTTATATTTCAGGTTCACTGATTTGCATAATTCCTGTGAAGTTATACAAAATAATTTCTTGACCAGAGAACAAAGTTCCCTCTAATGAAATAGTCCCTGAATGTTTAGAAGTTGTTAGAGTAACAGCCCCTCCTTTACCTTGAATAAGAATATATATCAATTGGACAGGCAAAGAAATTAAAAAAGGGCTGGTTAACTATTACAAACTAAACACGTAGAAACAGTTACTAGAGAGTCAGTTTATAGTACACAGAGAAACATTTTAGACAGAAAAGGATAGATAGCTAAGTTAGACATCACAAAGGCCTTATAATAAATTTCCTATTACCTCTACTCAATCTAGCTTATCCTTTTGCCCCACAATAAATTCTGAGAAACTTTAATATACAATTAAGACATTCAAATTCTGTACATACAGCTACTTCTAATTGATTAATGGCTCTCCTGGTCAAAATAATCTTTGTTTATTATAA